CTGCCGTCCTGCACCGAGGGACATGCCCGGCCAAGCAGAGCCTGGGCTGCCTCTCAGCCTACGACAGGCATGTACCCCACACGTGGCAGTTCTACTCCAGGCCCGGCTACATTTTGCCAGATGCACACTGGTCAGTAGACTGTGGTGTTGCCTTATGAGCCTTTGAGAGTTTGGTCACTAAATGAAACCAAGAAAAACACGGAGAAGAGAAGTTCTTGATGCTTTGGTGCTCCTGAACCTGAAATGGAAAGTGTGGTTTTTTAGTACGCTGCCTGGGTTTGAATCCCACCTCTGCCACTCACTAGCTAAACGATCTTGGCCAAGTTCCACAGCCTCTCTGAACCTCACTTTTCTCACTTGTGAAATGAGAAAGATTGCTGTGAGGCCTGAATGGAATGATCTAAATGCAGTGTGTAATGGTGCTGAGCACACACAGCACATATGTGCTTGTTAGGTGTTGGGATACAGTTTGATGACATATGTAGGTGACTTCCTCCTGTCAAATGATAAGTCGCAATGGAGACATTGATGCACTTGTTAAGGGTATGGGGATGTCACTTTAAAGCAGTTCTCAGGCTGCCCAGAGGGGCTCCAGCAGAAGTAGGAGACAGGGTAAGCAGTTTCTTCATAGGGTAGTCAGAAGTCATGGGCCAGGTTGCGCGTACTATGTATCTCGGTAATTTTCAGCAAAAGGACACCTATCCAGACCCTGTCTCCCAGACCCTGGCTCAGTGTCATGATATCACCGATCTCAAATTCTTTTTTTGGTTTCCCATGTAAGTCTGATATGCATAGTTCTGCTGAGTACCACCATTATAAGCTCACATAACCGTGCCTTTTCCATCTACTGTTGGTTGCCTGATGGAGGACGAGGCTTATATACTGGTGTGCTGGGATGCAGAGCATCTACAGTTCATGAGCCAGCAGCAGGCCACAGACCCAGCACCGTCTCCAGATTAGCTCTCACAGAGGAGGCCGGGTGAGGGAGCAGACGCCAGAAGGAAGCGACTGGTGACTACAGAGTGGAAAGCTGCCGGAGTACGGGAAGGGAAGATGTCACCTGGAAGCTAAAACCTTTACAAACACCTGGCACCAAGGCCTCACAAGACACCCCCACGTCGCCACCTTTACAACATTTTTAGTGTTAAATTTTAAAGCGTTTGTTGCCAGTTGAGCCCAAGTTCTCGAGACAAAGACCAAATTCCTGGACTTTGAACAAAGCATGTCAGTCGTGCTTGAAAGATTGCTCTTTTTCTTCCTTTGGGCCAAAACAGTGACAGTAAGCAGTTTTACAGTGTTTCAGAGCCGTGGCTCAGTGTTTTAACTTGTTTGTGCTGTAATAGCTTTGTGGGCAGTGGACAGCTCTGTTTTTATCTTATGCGGCTCCGCTTTAGGTCAGCAGTGTTGATTTGTGTGTGGGATGGGTTCTTTCTCCTTTTTCATGTCAGAACAACCTTCTTGACTTTTTTTTTTTATGACAAACAAATGTCTTTTTCTCCATTAGCATAGGTGGGAAATAGCAGGGCAGTTCGTGGTGACCTGACACTGGATCTGGAAAACTTGGTGACAGTGCCAGACATGATGGGCTTTTTAAAGCTTACTTTTGGGTGCTTTCTGTTTTTGCATTCATTAAGTAAAGGTTTATTAACAATTATTATGTGGCAGTTGCAGTGCAGGGTGCCAGGAAAACTGGTCAACAGTCTCAGTCCTCATAGAATTTTTACTCTGTAGTAAAAGCACAGACTTGTCAAGTAACTTTTAATTACGATCTTAATAAGTACCATGAAAGAGAAGTATGCTTAAAAATACATAATAGAGGAACCAGACGGGAGGAGAGAAGCGGGTGGTGGATGGAGGTGAGGGTGGGCTGCCCAGGCTAGATGGGCATTCCAGGCTGCAGAAGCAACATATGCAAAGGCTCTGGGATGGGAAGGCCTGGGCACATTCAAGGAACAGAAAGAGGCTAGTGTGGGTTAGAGTGGCAGGAAAGGAGGTCAGATCACAGGAGACCTTAGAAGCCTTGGTAAGGCAGCTGAGATTTGGATTCAGTGTTTTGACAAGCCCTGCTGACTGCTCTCAGTTCCATATTGGCCGGGAGACTCTTCCCTCCATCATGGAGGAGGCTCACGTCAGAAGCCAGCTTTGCCCTTGGAGACTGTCTTCTCCCAGTGCTCCCCTGAGGCTTCACACCCACCAGTCTCATGCTGCACCCTGACCGGCAGGTCCCCAGCATTAGCTTCATCATCCCTGGGGTCTGCATTATCACAGGCCTGTAATAACAGGGTAAACCTACATACTCCTGGGGGGAGGGGAGGCAAATGAAAACCCCTCTTTCTGAGGCATTCACTTTAGATTAGCAAATTCTGGCTGTGCCAGTGTTTTCTGGGCTGTAAAACAGACAAAGATTGATTACATGTCAGGCGGCACCTTGAAAACGCCTCCTGGACAGCTGTTGTATACCTGGCCAGCCATGAGGGATCCCAGGTCCAAGGCCCATCACCCAGCAATGCTCAGATCATCCTGGCAACTGCCCCCTGGGATCAAGGGGCTGCTTGCCTTAACTGCCATCCTTGGCTGCCCTGCTTGGAGACCTCTCTGGCACATTCCTCGTTCTCTCTGTGATTTCTTGGCATGTGACTCAGGCTGGCTGCCCCCAACTGCCCAACCTCTTGAATCCCATTCTGGGTCTTTTCCAGCTGCCAGCTTCTTCTGTAGGGGTCTTGTATAACAAGATTGTGATTTGGGCTCACTGCTGGGCCCTTTTGTGCCATATAGAACAAGTCACCTGCTCTGACTTAATTACTGCTGTGTACGTGCACATACATGTGAGGCAGCAGAGTGCAGTAGACAAGACACTGTTCCTCCATCAGAAATTACAGGCTCTGCCATAAGCAAGTCACTTCTCTGGGCTCAGTTACCATATCTGTACTATGGGCATATTAATAATACCAGCTTACATATTGAGCACCAACTGCTAATTCACCGACTCCTCTGAGTACATACTAGTATTTCCATTTTCATGTGCCAGCCTCCACAGGATTGTGGAGGTGATTGAATTAATATGATAAGTGCTTTACAACTTGAAATGTATCTGATAAAAGCAATTTTATTCAGTATTGGAGAATTCAGACAGATGAAAATTGTAATTGGCAATATTTATGGTGACCATCCTCATGTAATGTTGATTTACAAACATATGTTTTTATAGTACATATTATTCATTTTTTAAATGAATACTGAGGGCCTCCTCTCTGTCAGACACTGTTCAGGGTACTTAAGATATGTCACTGAAGAAAATCAAAGATTGCTACTCTTGTGGGGCTTAAATTTTAGCAAGCAGATAAACAATAAATCAGTCAGTCCACTTTGTATATTGGAATGTTGAGTGCCGTGGAAAATCTAAAAAGCAGAGCAAGGCGAGGGGGATTGTGAGTGCAGGGAAAGGTGGTTGCTTTTTAGGGGATCATGAATGCAGGGGATGGTGGCAGGTTGCTTTTCGGGGGATCGTGAATGCAGTTCATGGTGGCAGGTTGCTTTTTGGGGGATCATGAGTGCAGGGGACAGTGGCAGGTTGCCTTTTTTAGTCAGGGTGAGCCTGGTTTGTGTTTCATATGCATGGCCACGTCACTTACTTGCTAGGCATTTACTGTGTGCCCCCGCCGTGTGCTGCGGCCTGGAGATACAGCAGTGAACCGTGAGCAGCCTAGATAAGCAGCTCCTCCTGGAGCTTACTTTCTGGCAGGCAGAGTGGACAGTAAACAAGCAGGCAAGGACAGGTGATAATTGCAGGTTGAGGTAAGCAGTATGAAGAAATAAACAAGGATGTGAGGGCAAGCCAAAGGGGCAACAGATAGATGGGGTGGTCCCTCTGATGAGGCGTTTGCACTGGGCCTGAAGCACAAGTCTCAGCCAGCCATGGGCAGTGCCGGAACCATGTGGGTCAAAAGCCCCAGGGCCGGAAGAGACTGAGCAGGTAGAGTCAGCCCAGGGAGCCTGTGTGCCTGAGCAAAAGCAGCACGAGGAGTGCAGTGGGAGGGAACAAGGGAGTCTGGAGAGCGGACAGCGCACGGCCTTGCCAGCCACCAGGAAGGATCCGATTTTATCCTAAGATCAGGGGAAGGCCTCGGCAGTGCTTTGAGCAGGGCTTGACTTGATCTCATTTGTGGTGGGTTTTTTTTTTTTTTTTTTTTTTTTTTTTTTTTTTGAGACTGAGTTTCACTTTTGTCACCCAGGCTGGAGTGCGATGGTGCGATCTCAGCTCACTGCACCGTCCGCAGACAGGGTTTCACCATGTTGGTCAGGCTGGTCTTGAACTCCCGACCTCAGGTGATCCACCAGCCTCAGCCTCCCAAAGTGCTGAGATTACAGGCGTGAGCCACCATGCCTGGCCTTGTTTGTGTTTTTAAAGATCACCTGGCCGAGGTTGGTGGATCACGAGGTTAGGAGTTAACGACCAGCCTGGCCAAGATGGTGAAACCCCATCTCTACTGAAAATATAAAAAGTAGCCAGGTGTGGTGGTGGTTGCCTGTAATCCCAGCTACTCCAGAGGCTGAGGCAGAGGTTGCAGTGAGCCGAGATCGCATCACTGCACTCCAGCCTTCCACAGAGCAAGATATTGTCTCTAAATATGTATATATCTCACCCTACATACTGCATGAAAGGTAAGCCGCATGAGCAGTTCTCTCCACAGCCACCAGCTGGGAAGAATGCAGTCAGTTCTCAAGCTAATTCCAGCTGACATTTCTTGAACCCTCTCCTAGGTGCCAGGGACCACACTTGGTGCTTTTTGGGCACGTCATCTCAGTCACTCCTCACTGCCCAGTTTCTGGTTCATCCAGGAAGTACCAATGTAAACTGTGATTCACTGTCTTGCAGGAGTCCCCAGAAATCCGAGGTGCAGAGGGGCTGGGGGTGGGGAGTGGCAGTGCAGTGGGGGAGGCGGATTTAGATTATTTAACACCAGAGCAGCAGCTGGTGCTTCGTTCATTTTAGGACAACTCATCCTTGTGATTAGCTGGAGGTTCACTCTTGTTCAGGAGCCAGAATGTAAACGGCTCTTCCCTTTGCCCTCCCAGAGAGGTAGCAGTCAACTGAGAGGTACGGAGCCACCTTCCATTCAATCAGCTAGTCCTTTGGGGTCACAAAGAAATGATGGTTGACCTTTGAAACCAACTCTTGATGATAAGTTCACCCCTAAAATAAAAATTTTCAGGGGACAGGAACTCTGGGACACAGCATTCTGATTTTAAAATACCTTCTATTAATACATTTTGGGACTCTGAGTGTCAGTGGAATTTGGGTAAAACAAGAAATGGAGACACAGCACTCAGAGGCTTCAGGGAGATTCTCTAAGCCTGTTTGCCAGATTTCTTAAGCAAGCAGGTGCCCAGGCAAGCTTGATCCTGAGATGAACCCAAGGTGTACCAGCTACCCTGAAACACTGCTGCATTTCAAAAAGAAAAAAGAAACCCAGGACCTTTCCCCGCTTTCATCTTTCCAAGCAAGCAACCTAAAATATTTAACTGGGCCCATTGCATCATTCATGAATCTGACAGTACTCGTTCTCACAATCCTATGTGCACGCAACTACAAGTCCAGGCCCTTAATGTTTACCTTCTCCAGATAATAGGTGAGGCTGTCCAAGATGGCCTCCCTCTCTGCTGAGTTCACTCCAGCAGCTTCCCAATGGTGGCCTTTAGAACAGCCTGAATTTCAATTAAAAAATAAGCTTCCCTGTCACACTGTGCCTTCTTGAATCTGATAGCTTAAGCGCAGTAAAGTCTGATAAATGTAGCTTTTCTGTGCGCATTTCAGGCCGCATTTAGAAGGCAAAATCAAGAGGATTTTCCTTTTCCTAGACACAGCTCAGCTCTATAAAGGGCTTCTGTTTTGTAATCTGTTTTCGAGATCTGATGCATGTGTTTCTAACACCCCGTCACGTGAGGAGGTCTGACGTAGTCACCCAACATGACTATGAGAAAATATACTGCAAAGATGTGTGTGGGATGGTGCAGCCAGCTCACTGAAGCAAAGTGTCCTTTGTCAGAAAACTTTCCGCAGTGAATAACAGACCCGTGCAGCAGATTTCACTTTGATATGGGCCCTGCGCTGGCCCAGTATGGACTGCGGGTTTGACTTTTGCAGGATTCCAGGTCAGTATCCTAATACAGTGCGTTCTTTTTTTAGTTAGGTTTTATTTCTAAGTTTCTTTTTATAGAAGACGACTTGCAGTAGAGGGAGGAGAAAGTTGCTCTGTCGATTCAGTTGTTATTACGTACATTAGGAGTTGAGTGGCCAAGGGACTCGCAAGAAGGCTCTTGGCCTTTTCCTCTGATTAGAAGATCTAGAAAAATGGGGTTCAGTCTGGCCTTGGAGAGTGGCTTTGAGTAAGTGACTTGTGGTTTTCACTAAGAATGCAGACTGAAAAGGTTTACTTCACTCTCCTCTCTGTAATATCTTAAAGATTTACTAATAAAAATACGCCAGATTTTACTAACAAGCCCTATAAAGAGCTGCATAATAGATACATTAGTTAACAACTTAAAGATTTTTCAAGAGTTTTTTTGCATTGTAAAAATTAAGAGTTTATATGGAAACTTATCATTGTAGGTTTTCTTCTGTGCATTTTGGTAAGATCACCTTAACTAATTGAAGGGAGAGAAGATTTAATTAAGCTGGAAATACTGGGAAGTACTTAGTCAGATTATTGCCAAGAATTGTTTCCCTTATTTTCAAATTCATTCCCAGAATGAGTGAACCAATACTTAAAAGAAATATCCAGGATAGATTACAGTGACCATGCTAACCTTTGAGACTTGGAAGGCAAGGATAGAAGCAATGATAGATTGATTGTATAAACAGATTGTAGGTAGCAGCCCTGCAAATCAAAGAGCAATTTCCACCTGGGTATGATGTGGAGCGGACTGCTGGTCCACCTGGTTTTTCAGCCATGTTCAAACTGAAGAAATAGTAATCGCCTCACACTTGGAAAATTAAGGACAGGTATAGAGTGTGTGTATATCTGCATGGCTGTGGGTGTGTCTGTGTTTCTGTATCCCTTGGTCTTTCCAGCTATCTCCTGAGGATTTCTGCTTAGTGTTTTACCACACTTTTATTCACTGTCTCTTTAGTCCTTTTAGGCTTATGTATATTTATTTTATTGAGTAAAAATTTTAAATAATTTCTTTGAAAATTAACATTTTTAATTAAAATTGTTTTGACTTTTTGGGGGGGAGCTTAGCACAGCAGTTCTCCAACTTTTTGGTCCCTAGACTCCCTTACACTCTTACGGTCATTGGGAACCCAAAGAGCTTTTGTTTATCTGAGTTCTTTCTATCAATATTTACCACATTCAGGGTTTTAAATGAGAATTTAAAGAACTATTAGATTGATGGAAAAGTAATTACAGATTTTGCCGTTAGTTTTAATTGTACCAACCTAATATTTATTAACTGATGGAAAATGACTGTGATAAATCCAACTGAATGATAAAATAACATCTTATTAAAAGTATTTTCTAAAAGAAAAAAATAGTGACAGGACTAGTATGGTTTTACATTTTTGCAAATATTTTAAAGTCTGGCTTAATAGAAAGAGCTAGATTTTCATCCCTGCTCCTGCCTTCAGCTCTGGTATGCTGTTTTAGTTGAAGTATGTAAAGGAAATCCAGCTTCTCACAAATAGGTAGTTGGAAGGGAAGTTTTTTTAATAGCCTTTTCAGCTAATTGTGGGTATTCTTTGATACTACACCAAAACTTGACAAGTGATAATTTCCTAAAAGTGTGTCTTTATTAGTAAATCTTTAAGACATTGCAGAAAGAAGAGTGAAGCAATCCTACATTCTTACAACTCAAAGGCACTTTCTCAAGGCTGCTGTCCAGGGCCAGCTCCTTTCTGCTCACTGTCAACATCACCAACAATGCATTGTCATGCCTACAGGTGCAGAGAGTACAAAGATGATCAGATTGTCCCTGTACTCAAGGAGCTCATAGGGAAGATATAAATGTGAACAAATGCATCATACCGCACATTGCAATGATGGAAAACCAAAAACTAGAAATTCCGGAGGAGCAAGGCTACCCAGATGAGACAAGAACAAGTGAGGATTGCCAGGCAGGGGAACTAGGGACTGGGAGAGAAGGATAATCGTAAGAGGAAATACAGTTTCTCTCCTAAGGCTTTATTCAGGCAGAATGCAGAAGTCTCCCAAAGGTACAAGAAAAGGGACCCATGACAAGGGAGAGTGTGCTGTGTGTGTGTGTGTGTGTAAGGTAGGGGAGGAGGTATAGATGTGGGGAGTGGGGAGGCTAGGATGGAGAAGGACACTGCTTTCTTTCCTTCTTTTTTTTTTTTTTTTGACAGAGAGTCTCGCTCAGTCACCAGGTTGGAGTGCAGTGGCGCAATCTCAGCTCACTGCAACCTCCACCTTCCAGGTTCAAGCGATTCTCCTGCCTCAGCCTCCTGAGTAGCTGGGACTATAGGCGCGTACCACCATGCCCAGCTAATTTTTGTATTATTAGTAGAGTCGGGGTTTCACCATGTTGGCCAGGATGGTCTCAATCTCTTGACCTCATAATCCGCCCCCTCAGCAATTACAGGCATGAGCCACTGGGCCCGGCCCGCTTTTTACCTTAATGCATATCTGTGCTGTTTTAGTCTTTGATCATGAGCATAGATTCATTTTCTTTTTCTAAAGCTAAGAAATTCTAAAAAGCAAGTGAAGAAAGTTCATTTCAGTCATCAAAAGTATCTTAAGTGCCTCTGTTTACGTTACATGTATGTGTTTTTATTACATAAGGCTGAAGCATAGCAGGAGACAAAAACAGAAAATTCTAAATATGCTAATTAACTAGAATTTCCCAGTGGCATTTATATAAAGTCTAATTATAAAATGTGTTTATCATATATTTATATAATTCGTAAAAGTACTTTACATATTTGTACAATATACTTTCTGTAAATATACACAAGTGTACTTATAAGTATAATATAGAATTTTATATTTAATTCATATAGGTTGGCTGTGCTGGCTCAGGCCTGTAATCCAAGCACTTTGGGAGGCCAAGGTGGGAGGATCACTTGAGCCCAGGAGTTTGGGACCAGCCTGGGCAACATAGTGGTCTCAAACCGTCTCTGACAACAAATTTAGAAATTATCTAGGGATGGTGGCACATGCCTGTTATCCCAGCTACTGTTGGGGGATGGGCGAGAGCTGAGGTGGAAAGATCACTTGAACCCAGGAGTTCAGGGCTGTAATGAGCCATGACAGCACCACTGCCCTCCAGTGGCACTCCACCCTGGGCAGCAAAGCAAGACCCTGTCTCAGAAAAGAAAAAAATAATAAAAGTAAATAATTTATATAGAGATTTAGATTTTGTTTATATATAAAATACTGGATGACCATTCGTCCTGATTTTTTGGGGTAATCTCGATGTGTACCTGTTTCCCTGGCATTAGTTGTATCTCTCTCAAGTGTCCTATTTTGGATGCTGAATTATGTGTTCATCCTTTTTTTTTTTTTTTTTTTTTTTTTTT